AAAAAAATCTTCAACATCACCATGTAGTTGACTAAAGAAATTGATTTTGTTATTTATTTTAAAAAATATATTAAACTATTAGCGATATATAAATGGATTAGTCAGTTTGTCGATATCATCATATAATAATACTGATACTATGCAGTATTAATATGTGGAATGTTATTGCACAACTTGCATGTGTAACATCTTGACCTCCAAGTAGTTATTAATTTTATTCAGTTTGCACATATTTCCAATAAAAAAGCCTGATTAAGCCATATATTTATTTTTTTTAGATTTTGATGTCACAGAATAATGACAGATAGGTTTGAAATATGTTGCAGCAAAGCAAATAAAATACAGAAACTTTATTTCTTCTGACAAAAGCCTTTGTTTGATCTTTCCAGAAAATAATTAATTTTAAAGTATGTTGTGAAAAAGCTAATAAACACCAAAAAAAGTTTAACATAAAATTCGGATTTCTAAGGAAAATGGACCAAATGTCTTTGTTTATTATTATTATTAATAAGCTCAGTGCTACATATGTCACATTAAACATTTACAAAAAAATCCCCAATTACAGGTTGCACTTCAAAAACAACTGCAGAAAAATGCCATGTTATAAATAGTCCATATCTGGGTTGTTTTATTTGTCTCCTAATTTTCCTATGAAGAGAACTTGGTCTGGGTTCTTATGGTTTAAAGTAAAGTCAGCTAATCACTTTTGTTCATAAACGTCTCAAATTTAACTCTGACCACTTTTGTTTCTCAGAAAGCAGGTGACCCAGAAGAGATGACCACACTCTCGTACGTCTACACAGACTTCATTAAGTCAAGAGTTTCCAGTCAGGCCTGCTGTGGGGACTTCAGTTACTCTAAGTTTGGACCTACATGCAGCGAGGAAACGATTGTTCTGTATTTGGCCAATAATGAAGAGATACGTGAGAACAAAAACAGAGCATCGATGTAGGTACTGTTCACAAACAAACAACCGATAGGACAGATGTTTTCATTTTTCCCTATTTATTTATACATATTAATTGCAATATTGGAAGTTGACAAGAACTTTTAACCTTAAAAAGTTAGAAAAAATGACTTTGTTTTAATAGTTTAATATGATATATTGCCTGGGTTGGTGTTGTATATTATGGTACAAAAACCTAGTAAACAGTACATATTCTGTTATTTTAGACTTATTTCTTATAAATCATATCATTTCAAACTACTAAAATGTCAATAAATGTCACTGTTAAACTGTAGAGTTTTCAAAATCAATAGTTGATAGAGCAGAGATCAAGGTCCCACAATGCAATTCACAACCGCAAATAAACTGAAAACACAAAAGACGGAAACTGTTAATTAACAGATACTTTTTACAGTGTGTTTTACATTAGTGCTTTATTCATTTGACTTCTTTCCATCAGGGTCAATAGTTTAGCTCAAATGTTCATGTATTATTATATTCATTCATTCATTTTCTTTCCGGCTTATTCCCTTTATTAATCTGGGGTCGCCACAGCAGAATGAACCGCCGTATTATTATATTACCTGAAGTTGTTTTTGTACTTAAACTGCTGCCATTATGACTGATCAAGCAAATATTAATGCATATATTTGCTTGAGTTTGTATAATAAGGTTTTTAAAATGGAAATGTGTCAGGAAATTGAATATTGACAAGTAAATGTGCGTGTTCACTGTCATCACAAAATATATACTTTACAGAAAACCCCTTTTGTCTTACAGCATGCTGTTTGTTAATTACAGAAGACTCTTTTATCATGTCATAAAAAAAAAAAAAAAAAGATATTGTATTGAGTAAGGAATAACGGACAAATAATCCTTGAAATACAATAATTAAGACCTGTTGGACAAAGCCAGTTTGTATTTTTAGCCAGGGAAGTTTGCATTTAGTTTGAGCAAACTCTTGAGATTTGGTGATCAGGAATGTGGGTTGGTTTTAATTGGGTTTTGTTGCTATGGTAATTTACACTACTCTGGCAACCTGCTCCAGAGCACTTTTTATTCAGGGTTAAATCCAAATTGAACCAATCATTTGTGAGTAAAGTGAATTTTTAAATGAATAAGTGAATATAATATGTATTTGTGTGTGTACGTGTTTTTGTGACATATCAGGACACAAATCTGTATAATGACATGGGTATGACAAAGGTATTACAAAAAGGAGGTGACATATGAGGACACTGGTGACATCCTCATTTCTCTATGCTTATAAATCACACAGAATGAGTTTAATCAGTGAGTAAAGCTGCACACAGTCTCCTGTGATGGTTGGGTTTAGTGGTTGGGTGGGGTGAGGGCAATACAATATACGGTTTGGACAGTATAAAATGAATGGAAACCTATGTAATGTACCCACTTTTTGCAAAAAACAAATGTTTGTGTGTGTGTGTGTGTTGCAATTAAGCCACCCTCAGACCATGTGCATATTTTTGTTACAAATTAAAGCCATTTATGCTAAAATAGGTTTGGAGAAAAATGGTCTTTTATTGCTAATAATTTACATATATATATATATATATATATATATATATATATATAATATTTGTGTTTTATATATTCACATAATTTAGTATTGTCAGTTAATATTAGTATAAGCTTCAAAAAAATGTACATTTCAATGTTTACATATAAATTTGCTACTATATAAAGCTTTTAAAATGAGCTGTATACATGCAAACCTACATTTTTAAGTTCTGTTGAATGTCTTGCATTGCTGCACCAACAACAGTGTTAATTTGTGCTTTGTAAATGCATCTTTCATTAAATTTCTGATAATGATATCTCTTAGCCTTCTGCAGAGACTCTCTCATGAGAAATGTCTAAAGCTGACTCTCTCATGTCTTGCTGCACTGTCAGACGCATACAGTCTTGAACTCTGGGTTAAAAGCCAAGTTAACATAACAGTTATATCAAGCATTGTGAAACTACTTAACCTGAACTTAAGCAGGTTGGAATTGTTGACCCAAAACTTACTTTGCAACTTGGAGTTTGCACAACTCATTTTGTGCAACAGGCCTCAACAATGCCTTTAGATGTGGTAACCACAGTATAAGCAGAAAAACAACCCCTTAGTCTAAGTGATCGTATATTATGTATATTTATGCATAAAAATAGCACATACAGAAAAAAATAGGGCTTGAACTGGGTAATTTCGAGTCATTATATCAATATGAGGTAAGTGATTGTCTGTTGCTCAACAAGCTGGAACATTACATACTGCACACATTTAGTGAAAATTGAGTGCAGTACTAATAATCCTGCAACTACATTACTAAACACAACAAACAAACACACAGAATAACCCTGCGTGCTACATTATACAGGCTTTATGCTGACCACAGGTGTGGCTTTATCATGGTGAGAGGCGTGAGAAACTGCTTTCTTCAGATGCCACAGTTACAGTTTCTGTCAGCATGAGTGCAAAATCTATGTTTTTTTTTTTTTTTGGAAAAGGGTCAAAAGATTTGAGACTTATATATGTCCCTGCTATATATAACTATTTCCTTGTGTGTTTATTCAGTCCAACCATACAGTACTAAAACATTACAATTATGTATTTATTTCATTATTTTATGTACTTTTTCAGCAGCAGAAATCAGCAAAATAACAGATTTTGCTTTTGATTTAAAAATGTGGTATGTAGAAAAAAACGCCAGCATGTACCAAAGACAAATCCTAATCAGAAGGTTTCTATACGCACATATGAGTAGTTTACAGAAGGGCAGTAAAAATTATTTTTGTAAAACAAAATTTTCAAAGAATATATAATATATATATTACATTTTGTTGAGGAATTTTTACCATATATATATATATATATATATATATATATATATATATATATATATATATATATATATATATATATATATATATATATATATATTTCCTTCTTGATTTAAAAGTACATTCATTTATAATGTTGAATATGACTGAGACAGTCACACCATAGGACAGTTTTTACATCTGGCTAATGTTTGGCAGATGTTTTTTTATAACAAGCTATGTTCTGCATTTTAAATGACGACAATACTAATTTATTTTTGTCATTTGTGACTAAAAATGCAATGCCATGTCTTTAACCCATATACATATTGCAGATTTGAAATCCTCATACATATAATTGTTTAGTTTTTTCTTTTCAGGTATTTAAAAATGACACACTTCTAAGCTTAAAAACACATTTTAGGAGGACACTGAAAGAGAATCGAACGCCACCAAACCTGTGGTTTTAAGAAAAAGCACAAAGACATGATAGACCAGTGTCTGCTAAACATGCAGATGTGCTTCTTCACAGCTATGAAGTCTTTCCTTTTCACACCTGGGTGATTTCCTTCAAAGCAAACAAATCGGTTTCACTTATCTAAACAGTTGATGGTGACCACTGACCTAAGTGGTGTTATTAGGTATTACTGTATGTCGAGCTGTATTATCAATATATATGTGTGTGTATGTGTGTATATATATATATATATATATATATATATATATATATATATATATATATATATATATATATATATATATATATACATATATATATATATATACATATATATATACATATATATATATATATATATATAAAATGTGTGTGTATGTGTTTTTTTTTAAACTGCTTTTATACTAGCCAAAATAAAACAAATAAGACTTTCTCTAGAAGAAAAAATATCAGACATACTGTGAAAATTTCCTTGCCCTGTTAAACAAAATCATAGAATAAGATAATTCTGACTTTAAAACACACACACACACAAATCATAGTGATTAAGCAGATGCCTGAAAGATCAGTATCAGAGTTTTGACATTTTAATGATTCAATAATCCAAAAGGAAGGCATACTTTTAGATCATTTTATAATTCAGTTGTTGGTCTGACATAATGTAAAAAACATCCAATGATGGCTCTCTACTAGATAAACTGAGTAAAAGCAGCCCTGCCTTCTTCCTGGCTCTACTCACTATTTATTTTCCTGTTGTGGTTTTCAGTGGCTACTTTTAACTCAAAGTCGTCAAGAGTTTTAGCTCTTGGTGCTTCGAAGCGTGACATATAATCAAGATCTACAGCGCCGAAAGGTCTGATTAATAGTTACAAATTATGATAAGATGACAACTTAGCAACAGTATGATTAAGTTACTGCAACCTCACAGCACGATGACTGGATTTTGCATTGATGTTTGGCTAATTTTGTTTGCTGTATCTGGTAAGCACAGCCAACTTTATATGTACTTTATATTTAACATTTCTATGATATGAGCAATTCCATGCAAATGTCAACCTTACCATGAAAACAACTTAAGTTGACCAAAATAGAGAAGCCCTTTCTACGTTTTTTTTGTTTTTGTTTAAGCAAGCGTTTGACAGTACTTTAAAAATACTCAATGTCTCAGTCAATGTTCAAAACTTTTTTGATTTACCAAAGTCACACAAATGGCAATTTGACATCTGTCACACCCATAACAGATAATGGATAAAGCTTTTTCCTTATAAATGTAAAAATGTAAAATAAAATTAATATTTTTTGTTCTATAGAGAGACAGCTCTTATCCTTTTGATTAGCATTGTTCTATTGGGCTGTGCAGTTTAATTCACAGAATTTCTACAAAGTATGTTGTTTACTGTGAATTCACTAACTTTTTTGCTCACATCTATAACGCATGTTTATTTTCCTCATTTAAAATCTAAAAAATGTTTACAGATTGATATATTTTTAAAGTTTTGATATAATCTTCACATATCCTTTTTGTGTGAATTTATGTTTTGAGATTTTACTCCAAATGTCATATCTATAACGCTGGAATTGCTCACATAGTTTATCTTTTACTCAGGAGTATTTGTTTATTAATGCTAGTGAACATATTGATTTGACAGTAAGAGTAATAGAGGTGAAAATGGAGACGACACTTAAACGGGGCTTATACAGTCGAGTTGAGCTCACTGGAGAAACACTTGATCAACAAACTGCTGATTCTCTGATCTCGGTGGAATGGACTAAAACAAACAAATCATCAAGATGTGCATGTTTTAGAAAATATAACAATAATGACACACACTACAGTCAATGCTGTGGAAAAGCTCATTTCTATATAAGCAACAACAGCCTCATTCTGGAGAACGTGACAAAACAAGATGAAGGACTCTACATGGAAACTATAGCTTTAAAAGATAAACCCACAAAGCACCAAAACTTTACATTAATCATTGATTGTAAGTCAGACACATCATCACATTTGTACGGTTCTCTTAAATTTTCTCTAAATTTTGCTAATTAAAAATTTTGTTTTAAGACCCACCGAACACAACAGAAATCCAGGTCTCATGGAGCTCCAGCACATCCATGACTCTCACATGTAACGTGAGCGGCTCATTTTTGCATCTGATGTGGAAGAGAGAAGGAGTCTCAATTCTAGAGGACGAAAGACACTCATTCAGTGACAGAAACCAAACTCTACACATCAGCAACATCAGCAGCTCAGATTACAGCACATACAGCTGCATCGTGTCCAACGAGTATGGACAATCTGAAATGCATAAAGACTTCACCAGTGAGTAAACAACAGTTTTGACATGATTAAAAAAAAGGAAGAAACATTACACAATCATTGCATAATCATGTAACTTTCTGGTTTTTGTTTTGAGGTGAGAACTCCACTATAAACCAAGGAAATACTCCTAGTGGTAAAAGACAAATGGTTCAGATTGTGTTTACTAGTGGACTTGTGTTTTTTGGTGTTTTGGGACTGTGCGTCATCTTCTACTGCCTTCACAAACATCAACACAGTAAGTCTTTCTTCAAATTCCAAAAACAATGTTCAACATTTAACAGCATCACAATGATTGCAGCGTGTTTATGAAACTCTCAGTCTTCATGATTTTGGTTTATTCTGTGACTAAGATCATGAATCTCAGTGCAGTGCAATCTCAGCATCTCTTGCTAAAATGTTCTTAGAAACACCAGACAGGAAGAACGGAAGTATGAAACAGACGAAAACCAAACTAATTTTCACTCAAGAAAAAAAAATCCCCTAAACTTCCACCACTTTTTTGATGCTTATTATGTCGTACGATGACAATTAATGAGACATTATGTTTTTAGGGCAAAGAGGACAAAATGACAGAACTACTACAGATGAAGGTAAAACCAATAAATCTTCACACATCTTGTAGAGCCAGTTATGCTTCATTCATTTGTGATGATAATTTAGTTGACAACGTTGACGAAAACATTGATATTGAAATGTAATAAAACTTTATAAGTATTGTATTTACTAAAATGCATAACTGAATAATTAATACAATTTAAAAAAAAATATATATATATAGTTTGGTATTTTTGGCTTCCGACAGTAATATGTCACGATGTCATTAGTTTATACGTTTAGGTCAGATTGCAGTTATGGACATTGGAAGCAACACAGTTTATTGACCAAGCTTTATCGAGTTTATTGTACCTTTGTATTTTTGTTTTGCATTTCTTCAGTAAATTTTAGCATTTCTTTGCGCTTTTTTTCAATGGTTGTTAGACTTCCTGCAAAGTATGTGCACGAAAGGTGTGCCACTACACATCTATTCATCAATGTATTTATCTATGTAAATAACTGTATGAAATCTACTTCACAGATGCAGACAATGACACTGCAAATTATCAGGTAACGAAAACCAAAACATTAACAAACATATGCGCAATATATTTGTACACAATCAGGTAGATAATATAGATAAAGAGTGTATTCTACACTCAAAAAATAATGTTGCTTCTTGTTCAAACTACTTGTGTGTAAACTGAGTTTTTTGGGGACAACCTAATTGTTCAATTTTTAATCCACTTAAATTTGTAAAAACAATTAACGGGTATCGTTAAATTAATTGATTTGTGTTAGTACAACATGAAGGAATTGTGTGGGATCCAGCATTCTTTACAGTGTAAACACAAATTATTCACAGCACAAGCTCGTAGCCAGGGGGGTTCAGGTGGTTCGAAAGACAAAGGTCCAGAATTTTTCCCATACATGAGCTCATTTGTCCTATTTTGACTGCTATGCCATCCTATCAAGTGACAATAACCCATCGAAAAAGGCTTTAAGACCAAGATGAATCCTCTGTTGGCTGTCGTGGCTTTAGCTAATCAGTTTTTGGTCAATGCGAACAACTGTTTTACATGAGTCCAACATCAGCTGTGCAAGAAAGCACACAACCTGATGTAAGTGACAGCATCTTTCACTAGTGTATTGTTTTTAAATAGAGAAAACAGTTTACTTTTATCTACATCTTGGAGCTTATTCTTGAAACAAAAAAATGAGCAATAAAAAGGTGTGAAGCACCAAAAGCGGCCCATATTACAATTAATTTAAATACTATTTCATCTATTGTTGATATTAATGCATTTTGAAATTTTTTAGAAGAGAGGTTAGAAAAATTGTGAAGCTTTACATCGGGGTGCCCAAATTTTTCTTATGAAGGGCCACTTAATTGAGGGTGGTGGGCCAAAGGTATTACATTAAAGTTGCAGAGATAAATTCCCAATTTATTAATATAAAAAAAGTATATATGTATACATTTTACAATGAACTTCTTGCAATTAAAACAAACAATCCTATTTATTCCTCAATGGAGTTCAATGCATTGTCTTTTTTAAATTATATTATATTGAATCAAATTTATGTCAATAACAATGATAAGCTCAAGACTTTTTTACTATTGATCTAAGAGCCAGTCATACAGCACGAATGTGCGATAATGGGAATCTAAAAGTGTGTTGATATTGAATTTTATTGAAAATTTAAAATGTATTGAATTTTTGAAATGTATTGAATTCTATATGTTCGAGATGTATAAAAATTTTGGACGCCGAAATATTTATTGGCTAAAAATATGTTGTGGCATTTAATGGACCCTCTAATTTTTGAGGCTACAGTCATTGTTGTTGAGGTACTCTTTTAAATATGGAAGCATTAACAACTTGTATCGAAATATATCATTGTCATTAAATATGGAAAATAATCATCAAAATTTCATTTTTGCCATATCGCCCAGCCCTACTTTTAAAATTTTTACAAAATTTGATTTATTTAATTGAAGTATTTATTTCGGTTTGCTGTTTTGTAGCTCAACAATTAAACAAACAAACAAACAAACAAACACAAATATGTGAAATTAGATCTGGTGATCTCTGTTGAAGGCATTTGTCCCAACCTTCCCCATCATTTCCTAGATGGGACAGCGGGCCAAATCAAAGGTTACCATGGGCCAACTTTGGCCCGCGGGCCCTAGTTTGGGCTTCTTTGCTCTACATTATTATTATTATTATCAAATTCAAATGGCCAAATTTCCTAACCGAGAAAAGTTGAATGTGCTGGTCAGTTTTTTTATTAAGAATTTGCCTAATAAATGACAATAGGCTTGTTTATTTTGTTTAAAACATATTCATTTTTTATGATATGATGAAATTAATTTAATTAATTAATCTCTTCATTCTAAATCTTTAGGGAATATTTTTGGCAGCCTACATCAAAAAGTGTGGTTATGATGGCATCCGACAAGCTAAGCCAGATAAAATATAGCTTAAAATCTATTTAAATCTCGTAATTAACTAGAAAATGAGGCGTATAACTGCAAAAAGGTCCACTTTTTAAGATAAAAGAACCACCCCTTTCACCAGGCTGGCTACGGGCCTGGGCATCTGTAATAAAACTGTGGTTTTCCAGATTGTAGACTAATTAATTAGCCAAAAACATGGGTACTAGTTTTAATATAGTAAGCAATGGGTCATTTTTTTTATAAAAACAAGAAGCAAGTCATGCATAAATTGTAAAAAAAAAAAAAAAAACATGTTTTATGTATTATATTATAGTATTGTGTGAAAATCTAGATTTTATAAGCCTGAAGTTTATTTTTATTTGGAAAAATCCGCTCCCTTCGGGCACTAAAATACGTTAAGAAAGCAGTCATTTCCTGAGGCCTTGTTGTTGTTGTTGTTTTTCTTTAAACACACCTGGGGCCTGTTTCAGAAAGGAGGTTAACTGAAAACTCAGAGTATTTTAACCCTGAAATGAGAGAAACTCTGGGTTTTCCGTTTCAAAATGGCAGGTTTGTTAAACTCGAGAAAGCAGGGTAAGTCAAGCCTGTTTCTGAAAGAGAGGTAACTTTAACTCAGAGTCAGTTACTGTGGTAACTTACTCTGTGAATCTAACCTGGTCAGAAGCAGGTTTTATTCTCTAAACTCAGAGTTTCTCTCTGTCTCCTTCCCTTTTTTTAAGATGAAGCGGTATTTCTCGCCTTAGCCTTACGTTTCCACCCACCTATTTTAGAGCTCATTTTGGATATGTGCATAAAAACGATTGATAGAAACGTCATGATGCACATAACTTTTTAAAATAAAAACGCGCATAACTGAGTAGGATAAACTTTTATTCGATAGAAAATGTGCGCATAAACTACGATGGAAACACTTTTACTGAACAAATTACAGTATGTACATTAAAAAAAAGATCATGATCATATGATAATGAAAATGTGTGTAAATGGACAAACCAGCAGGCTGAGCACACTGCAACATGTCTTAAATATTGTTTTAGTCATTCTAAAATGCCTTAACTGTTTCAGTATTAGTGTATATTATTAATTACCTCCGAATGTTTGGTGCGTGTCAAGAGTCTCCGCGTCTCATGGCTTCAGATGCCCCCACGTGTTCATTGTGTTTCAGCATTGTCTTCTGACATCGAGGGGCAAGTACATTAATTTGGCTAAATAAAGAATTAATTGACGCAGCTTCTTCTACCACAGTAAATTCTGTTTTTACTGTTGATATTTGGTGCCAGTTTAATCAGGAAGTGACAATTTTTTTCTCTTTCACTCGTTGGATGGAATTTTATTCGCATCTTTTATGCAATATCCAGTTTTGCACATAAATTTATGCAATATATTTGGATGGAAACATAGCTATTGCCTACATTTTAGTCACACACAGAAAAACTACGAGAATGGCTTATCTTTTTTAAATAAATAATTAAATTAAATTCACCTTCGACATGCACTGTAACTAGATTAATGGGATTATTATTCCTTCTAAAAATTATTTTTAGTACTGCTTACCTTCTAAATGTTATATTAACCTCTATCACTTGATCAATAAAAAAGGCAGACACACAAGTGCACTGTTAAATCATTTAAAACTAATAAATGTATAAAAAAGTTTAGAAAAAAAATATAAACGCCACAAATTACATTACTTATTTTTTTATACTTAAATATTTAAATACTTAAAAAGTGAAATTAGGCATTAACTTGAGCAGCTGTTTTCCCACGCTAACTGTCTCTTCTTCACTGATGGTTGCTTCTTTTTAAATATATACGCTCATATTTGCTATAACTTTGCATGAGAACATCAAGTTCAGCTGGAGAAAGAAATGGTGATCTCTTTTATAAGATATTGCCATAGTCACTCTTAATGTCTGCGCTCCATTGATAATGCCTTTTTAAAGTCACGGTGTGCGCGCTTAACTCTGAGTTGGTCTACTCGAAGTTGATTGACCCAACTCAGATCAGCTGTTCTGAAACCGAAAACTCTGAGTTTTTAATCTCTCGGTAAATCAACTCAGAGTTCAGGTTAAACTCTGAGTTGTTTGAACCTCCTTACTGACACAGGCCCCTTGACTTTGAGTAGACCAACTCAGAGTTAAGCGCGCGCATTGTGACTATAAAAAGGCATTATCAATGGAGCGCAGACATTACGAGTGACTATGGCAACATCTTAAAAAAAAGAGATCACCATTTCTTGCAGCTGAATTTGATCTGCTCATGCAAAGTTATAGCAAATATGAGCGTATATATTTAATAAGAAGCAGCCATCAGTGAAACAGAGACAGCGTGGGAAAACAGCTGCTCAAGTTAATGCCTAATTCTTAATTTTAAGTTTTTTAAACATTTAAGTATAAAAAAATAAGTAATGTAATGTGTGACGTTTATACTTTTTTTTCTAAACTTTTATACACTTTTATCAGTTTTAATAGATTTAACAGTGCACTTGTTGTGTGTCTGCCTTTTTATTGATCAAGTGATAGAGGTTGATATAACATTAAGAAGGTAAGTAGTAATAAAATTATTTTTAATAATCCCATTAATCTCTAACAGTACATGTCGAAGGTTAAGCTAATAATTTATGAAAAAAGGACAAGCCTCGTGCGTGACTTTGTTCTGTGTG